ATTTATACACCTAGAAAAGAGTAATCATCACTCACTATTCAATTTCAGAGACTTAAAGTATTTAAAGGAATAAACTAATTTGACTAATATACTTTCTTTTTATTGAAAATTCTGACGTAAGTTTGATTGCTCATCTACTGATAATTCTAACGCATATTTGGTTGATGTTCTTCTTCCTCCTCATCTTCTGCCACCAATAGTAGAGCTTCCGTTGCTAATCTAACAGCTACCGGTCCTAATAATGCACCCCATGGTCCTAACAATTGTATACCACCAAATATCGATAGAAGAAGCAATAATGTTGACATATGTAACGCACCCAACTTTGAAAATAGAGACCGTAATAAATTATCGATTGATGCGATAGCTACAACACCGACGATTAACATGATACCCGCTTTAACATATTGACTCTGTAAAAAAAGTGCGATGGCTATTGGAACCCAAACAATGCCTGTGCCTATAATCGGAATCACCGAGGTCAGTCCGGTTAATAGACCCAATGGTAAGGCACGAGGTATGGCTAAACACAGATAGGCAATAGCCGCGACAATTCCTTGAACTAAACCTATAAAAGTTAGAAAATGTATAAAGTAATTACAATTAGTCATTTCTAAGTATCTTACAGGTCAATCCAATACCAATAAGAAGTCCTCGTCCTGTCTCATGAAACGCTTTCCCAAATCGATCCATATGTTTCGCAGAAAGAGGACTATGCTGTATAATCCATGTCCATAATGGAGGTCCTTCAATAAGGAACGTGTAGGTGGCAATGAGAAAAATCAAGATTCCAATGATGAATTGAGTCGTTGCGTTCGCCACTGAACCAAGTACACTTAGAGCTGTGCCGCCAAAACCTGTGACCACATCAGTGATCTCTTGTTGCGATAGGAGATACTGAATAAAATTCGTTGCGTTTGTTGATGAAAAATCGGACAAACCAAATGTCGAGTTTGTATTTGTGGATGAGGGTGGAATGATGATATTGATTGCATTTCGAACGCTGGACGATTGACTTAGATGAACAACAAAACTGAACGCACTGTTCGACAGCGAAACAATAACCAGTATAATTGGGATGATCGCCACCAGTACAATAACAACAATCAAAGTAGCGGCTATCGCGTGCGACCGAGTTTCTTTAGAAGTGCTTTTTTTTAGTGGTGACTTTCGAACGAGGTATTCCATTAGTGGGCGACAAATTTTTGAACACTTTTGTATGTAATTGGTAGAGTTTTCATTAAGAAAAGTATAACCAAAGCAGCGGTTTTAATCATTTTGAATTTCCAACGTTTCGATTTATTAAAAAATCATTGTCAAGGATATATACAGAAAAACAG